AGGGAGCCAGAAATGAACCATGTTAGTATCAACTTCTTTGAAAAATACTAACGTACTAAATAATAAAAAAAATTCTCCTTACCCAGAATGCTTCATGCTTGGATAAAAAGGAAGAGGAAGGCAAAAGAATAAATGTGGTATTTTTTTTTTTTTTTTGGAGAGGTTTTTACTATAGGGTGCATGTGCTCACCACAAAGACAGACAGAGAGACAGAAAACAAGAAATCACCCCCCCAGGGGGATGACCACGCTGCAATCCCTTCTCTTCTCAGGATCTTGGGCACACACCCATATGTGCCCGGCGTGATTTTAAGCCACCAGGTCTGGGACTCAAACCATGGTTGACTACAAGGGAGTCCAACGACATAGCCATTATGTCAACTGCTGGTCCCAAAATGTGGGAATTTTTAAACTGTTTTTGTTCTGATAGTTGTTCTTTTCATCATTTCTCTGAATGTCTTGAAACAACAGGACGGCCTGGGGTACCTCCCAATGTGACTGAGGACAGCAAATGAAAAGGAACACATTGAGATTGATTATGTAAAAGAAGAATTTCAAGTCCGTTGTTACTAGGATTTCCTTTTTTATTTTCTGAGATATATTTGCTATATGATGTGTGCATTCACCAGAGAGACAGAGAGAGAAAGAGAGGCAGAGTGAGAAACCATCCCCCAGGAAAGAGGGCCATGCCACATTCCTTTCTCTTCCATTCTCCCTCTGTGACTTTGGGTGTACACACACACACACACACACACACACACACGTGCCCAGGGTGAGTGTCAAATGGCCAGGTCCAGGGCTCAAATTGCAGTCAATCACATGAGAGTCTAGTGCCTTAACTACGTCACCTGCTGACCCTGGATTTTCCATCTTTAAAAAATTTTTTGCTCTAGGGGCCAGCAGGTGGCTTGGTGGTTGGCTTGGTGCTTACGGGTGCTGGACTCCCACACAGCTGACTCCGGTTTGAGTCCCAGACCTGGTAGCTTGCTTTCTCACTTTCCCTCTTTCTCTCATTCTGTCTCTCTCTGGTCAAATTAAAATAAATGAAGTTAAATAAAAAATAATTCTAAAAAAGAAAATTTTTTTTTTTTTGCTCTAGGATTCATGTGCATGTCAGACAGCGAAAGAAAGAGAGTAAGAGAGAAAAGGGAAGTGAGAAAGTCTCCCCCAAGGAGGTATGGCCCTTCTCTTCCATTCTCCCCTCTTGGGAGTTTGGGCACCCAGTGTGGTTTTCAAGCCAATGAGTCTGAGACTTGAACCATGTCATCAGCAAGTGGAATCCAGGCCCTCCAACCACCACACCACCACTGGCCTGGATATTCCATTTTTACTCTTTCTCTCAGTAAACATTTATTGAGTGCCAGGCACATAAAGGTGGATTATAGAGGATGAGGATAAATACTGGCTGGGGATGAATATGGCTCTCCCGTCTAATAGAAGAGATTCGTACAAATAAATGAAGACCACAGAGAATGCAGAGTACTGTAAGTACTGTGCCAAGCAGACTAGGGTCAGGAGAGGCTGGGAGCACTGGCGGGCCCAGGGAGAGGAGGTAACCAGAATGCCTACATGTGACAGCATCTGTTCTTCCTTCCTAATAAAGCTTCAGAGAAACCCATGACATCTGATATAACGAAACCCAACGAGGATTCAGAACACTCTCTTTTGCTCCATGTGGGACAGCAGAGTGAATGTTTGTCATTGTAATTTCTCTTCTGTGTTTCACACAAGACCTTACAAAAGTATACAAAACAGGCATTTTTCTCTTAGGAAATTATTTGTCTTTTTTATGTCCTATAAGAGACAGAAGACCAAAGCACCTTAAAATAAGATCCAAGAGTAAGCTGATGATGAAAATGGCAAAATATTGTTTTTATTTATTTATTTAGTTGTTTGTTTATTTATATTTAGAGAGATTTTTGCTATAGGGTGTGTGTGCTCACTGAAAAGACAGATAGAAAGAGAGAAATCACCTCCTGGGGGGATGGCCACGCCGCAATCCCTTCTCCATTCTGTTCTCGGGATCTTGAGCATGCACACACACATGCTCGGAGTGAGTTTTAAGCTGCTGGGTCTGGGACTCAAACCACAGTTGACTACATGGGAATCCAGCAAAATAATCATTACACTATCTGCTGGTCCCAAAATAATGTTATTTTTAAAACTGTGAGGCTCCACACATTTTTTTCTGTTAATTTTTAAATCCATAAGAATTTTAAGGGAAGTCAAATCCATATAATTTTGACTCATTTGCATCCATTAAATGTGTTGTTTTATATGAATCACTACCCGTCCCCATATAATTTTGACTCATTTGCATCCATTATTCCTAAATGTGTTGTTTTATATGAATCACGACCCGTCCAAGAATCTTTTTTCCATTAAAAGGTGCAAAATTAACAGCCAGAATCAAATTCTCGTAGACTGCAGTTTAACCAGATACGCTGACCCTGAAGCACCGAGAAAATCCCCAAGGGGTGGAGATACGTTCTTGGGCATCTATCAACAACACTCGGTTTATTCTGGAATAACATGAGCATGTCAGAGCTAATCAGGGCCCGCTAGCTCCAAGATCGTAACAAGGCCTTGACACATCTATTTAAAAACCCCAATAAGATGAAATTTCACTCCTGCTAGTATAGTTTCCCCATAGCTACTATTTTATTTTTGGCTTTCTGGCCTAAAGCTGATAGAAATTCTGCAGAGATATCAATTTTCAGAAAAAAACAGTTAAAAGTTTCACTGCCTGAAAAGACACAGCAAAGAATAATAGACATTCCCAGGGACTTTGCCTTTAGCAGACAGTAACCTACATCTAGGGTGTGAGGGTGCATGCATGCATGAGGCGAATAAGTGAACAGGAAAAGAGGGAACCCCAGTTAAATTAAAGAACAAGAAGCCCAATTCCATGGTCAGGCTAAACAGGAGCTGGCCGGAGGCCCCATTTTTTCAGGAGTAATTTGGCTTTGACATCACTATCCTATATAAACTATAAACATGTTTTAAAAAACCAATAAGCAAAATCAAAAAATAAACAAATGAGGCATTGAATGCACTACAGAAAATGTTACACCACAATGAGGTGATAAAGAAAACAATTTCCTCATCAAACTCCTAAGCACATTAATTCCCTAAGATTTTTAATATAAACAAAATTTGGGATGGAGAAAACCACAACAGACCTGTCTAATGACCACCGCGACTTTCAGAACAAAGTAATGATCACCTGTGCATTCCACCACTGCCTTTATCAGGCTCTAGTGTAAGAGCAGAGCTCAGTTTAAAAAAAAAATACTGCCTTCAGCAACCAGGAAATTTAGAAATCGGGCCAGGACCTCCTCTGTCAACTGAGAGCTTTCACATCCCATCTGCTGTTCCTGCCGCAAGGGTTGCTTGGGTGTTCTCAGACGCAGACCCCTGGCTTCACTGTGAGCACTAACAGAGAAGATGAGCTCGCCACTCTCTGCCTCCTCTGTGCCTCTGGCTTCTCCACAGGCCAAGACGGCTGTTAGGAGCCTCCTGACCTGGCCTCGGTTCCTTGTTCTGCATTATTTAGCTCTGTCACTACTATTGCTACGCTGTCTTGCCTTTCTCTTAACCAAGTCCTAGAATCCTGAAGACTCATTGGAAAAGGATGGCTCCTCTGAGTGAACAATATTCATAATTACAATTACCAGAGGTCTGAAATTTGCTCTAACAATAGTTTCTGAAAGAATACATATAATGAAACACATTAATGACTATGAAGAGAGGTGATAATTTTTGCTGGCCATCCTGTACCCACATAATAAATGAAAGCTTGATAGACAGCCTTCTGGGTACCTCTGCTTCTATTGTTACACCTGTTCTATGAGCTAAGGGCCACAACTGAGGTGACTCATTGTGCTCAAACCTTAACTCATTATCTAATCCCTACCAGCTCCTCCTGCCTTTTTTGGTAAGAGTGACTATCTGTCCAGTTGCTCTAGTCACATCTCTTTCACTGTCAATATTCAATTGGTTACCAAGTCCTACTAAATTGTCACTTGCTTATCTTTCTCTCTTTCTCACAGAAGAAATAAAACATTTAAAAAAAATTACTCGCTTGGGACCAGCAGGTGGTTTAAAGTTACATCGCTGGACTGCCACGTAGTCGACTGCAGTCTGACTCCCAGATCCAGTGGCTTAAAACTCATGTCAGCCGCGTGCGTGTGCACGTGTGCGCATGTGTGTGTGTGTGTGTGTGTGTGTGTGTGTGTGTGTGTCCAAAATCCTGAGAGGAGACTAGAGGAGAAGGGATTGCAGCGCGGCCATGGGGTGATTTCTCACTTTCTGTCTCTCTGGCAAGCACATGCACACTATAGCAAAAATCTCTAAAAAAAATTTGTTGGCATGTGCAATGACTTTGTAGTAATTCAAACCTTAATCAATGGTTTCTCAAAACCTATTTTATCCTATCAGTTGCCTCTGACAAAATTAATAAAATATTCTCCTAATAAATCTAGAGGCTTCCAAAGCCACTATTCAGTATTCTCGGCTGAAATGGACTCCACAACTTCTGGAAATGAGTTTCATCTATGGAGCTACATAAGGTAGTCATTTAGCAGGCATGCACACTGCAAGCTAGCCTAAAACTCTACAACCTGCATGGGCACAAAATCCGACAAGAGAATCAAACCCCACTAGGCCTCCTTCCCTTTCCTAGAGAAAAGAGGTTGTAACTTGTTTAAAGTATGACCACCAGAAAAATACTGTAATATTGCTATTCCTGGGAGGGTCTCACAGAGACAGAGACACTGTCAGCCAGAAGCACAGAATAAACATTACTGAAATAATATGTATCAACCTCAGCTCTGTCTCTGGCAGACTCAGGAGAACCTCATCTGAGGCCAATAGGTTGTTTGTTAAACTAGCAAACAAAAAGCAAATAGCAAAAACCCTACTTCAAGCTAATGTGATTCTTTTGTCAGGCCCATGGTTTTTGAAATACCAACTTGAGGGTAAATAAACATAGAGACTCACTCTGGGAAGCATAGTGCTCCTCCGCGGCTTTGTCTTCGTGTCCTTCGTATTCCCTGCTGGAGAGCTGCCTATTGGCTGTCTCCAGTCGATCTATAAACAAAGAGGAGATGATTAAAAAGAAATACATGTAGATTTAAGTTATTACCTAACCGAGAAATGAAATAGGTGCCAAGAACTAGGCAGGAGGAGATGCTCAGGCAGGAGCCAAAGCTGAGCAGTTCTTGGGGAGGAACAATAAGTACATTCCAAAATATAAAAGCAAAGCTTTCAGAGGCCATGCTGTGTCTTCCCACAATCTAATGGAAGGCACCAGCAGTAGGCAACTAAAGATGGTCTCTGACAGAAAACCACTTCACTGCTTCTAAGGCAGGCAAACCTGCAGCTGAAAGCCTCCGCAAAGAAATGTGGTCTCCTTGCTCTCAACCCAGCCCTAGTCTAACCGTGATCCATCAGCCCTGTGTTTTAACCCGTGACTGCTATCTGTACTTCAGAACTGAAAAGGAGAAAAATGACAAATATATACCAAAACAAGTCAAAATTACCTATTCTGTTTGCTCAAACCACTTGGTAAACCTTCACTTATTCAAGTAAGTAAACCATCTCAACAAGTATTTATTGGGGTAATGATACCCAACAGAAAAGAGTTTGGAGTAATAGCAAAGTAGGATCTACTTGTTGCGGTCTACTAATATGGGAGTGTTTTAACACATGACTTGCCTGACAGAAACTGAAGTACAATTTGAGGGTTAAATCGTGGTGCACATTCATTGAAATGAACTGCACATGGCTTGCCTGATGGGAACTGAAGTAGAATTTGAGGGTTAAATCATGGTGCACATGGGGGATAGCCAAGATCCTGCAGCAGGTGGCTCCCATCTTTCAGAAGGTATTATCTGTCTACTCCTTTTACAGTTGTGGGTTTCTTCCCCACCTCCGTGGAAGAATGTATGTCCATTTCTGTCTTCTATACAACACCTAGCAAGAATTAAGTGTGGCCTTCAAAGACTGTTACCAAATGACTCAGTCTGATGTGGAATGGTTGTGCATCTAACACTGGTCTTTGCAACATTCCTGTTCACAGTCATGAGTCACAGTGAGGTACACTTTTAAAGCAAGAAGGAACTGCACACAGACGCCTTCCTTTCACAGACTCATGTACATAGGCTGTCATTTCTGAGGCCAAAGTTGCCCCAAACACTGAAGCAGGGAAGAACAGCTCTGCATTTTGAGAAACTCTCCCCTTCCCCAGGTAGTAGAATAGCACTTATGGCAAAGCTATTTGGACCTGTGGTCAAGCTGTTAACCACATGAGTAGTTTAGGGTAGAAAAATCAGACAGAACTTGACATGCCTCGAAGGTCTCTGTTGAAATCGTGAAGTCTTCTAATCTCGCCTTCTAATTTGTTTCTCATCGCCTTGTCCAGTGACTCTCGCTTGGTGGTGGACTTGACCAGGCTCTCGTAGGCTTCCGAAATTCTCTGAAGTTCTTTTTCAAACTAAAAGAAAGAACTGGCATTAAAGTGGGTCATTGGACATTCATGCTGTATTTTAGTGATACTGATACCCTGAGATTCAACGTGTGAAGGTTTTATCGTCAACATGGCCTTTCTGCATCTCAAGCTTCATGGCCACCAAATAGCGGGGTCACTTCACTTTTCCACCTGCCTTCTAAGGGCTGTGTTAGGATCTTGGAAATAACAAGTCTGGCCAGACATCTGAGGTCACCTGTAAAAGCCAATATTCTGTACCAAGATTGGGAATGTACGGATTAAAATATAACTTAAGTCTCTTATATTTTGTACAGTGATTTACCACTACTATCAGTATTTCTAGTTAACATAAAGGCAGTACTAAAGTACAGAAAAACTAAAGGACTGTAACTAAAAACCAGTTTTCTAGACTCCAAGTGCAATGCTCTTTTCAGAGACTTTTCTACCTATTCCCAAAGGAACATAAAATCCCCTTGCATAGAGGCTTCATTACTTTGCATTTTTACTCCTTTGTCTGTAAAATGATCTATGTAAGGAATTAATGAAGATCGAGTGGTGGTCCAGTGATAATGCGACTGAACTTGCATAGAAAAGATCCTGGGTTCATGTCCTGGGACCTCCTTGAATATGCCAGGCACCCGTGCCTCATGATACAGGCTAGCCAATGCTGGGGGTGGATCACAGCATGGGGATCCTGTTGGAAGTGCCTGTTTCTCTGTCTCTGTCTCTGACTCTGTCTCTCTTTCTGTTCCTTTCTTTCATGGAAGAAGTAAATAAATAAATATATAAAAATTTAAAAAAGAATTAATTGATTTGTACCTATACATTTGTATGAACAAATGTGCCTGACATATACAGGATTAAAACCACTTTTTGGTGTGTGTGTATTTCATTGAATGGAAAACTATAACTAGGAAGGCTTCCACCTATAAAACACATAATTCTATAGCAATAAAATATAACTTAAGTCTCTTATATTTTGTACAGTGATTTACCACTACTATCAGTATTTCTAGTTAACATAAAGGCAGTACTAAAGTACAGAAAAACTAAAGGACTGTAACTAAAAACCAGTTTTCTAGACTCCAAGTGCAATGCTCTTTTCAGAGACTTTTCTACCTATTCCCAAAGGAACATAAAATCCCCTTGCATAGAGGCTTCATTACTTTGCATTTTTACTCCTTTGTCTGTAAAATGATCTATGTAAGGAATTAATGAAGATCGAGTGGTGGTCCAGTGATAATGCGACTGAACTTGCATAGAAAAGATCCTGGGTTCATGTCCTGGGACCTCCTTGAATATGCCAGGCACCCGTGCCTCATGATACAGGCTAGCCAATGCTGGGGGTGGATCACAGCATGGGGATCCTGTTGGAAGTGCCTGTTTCTCTGTCTCTGTCTCTGACTCTGTCTCTCTTTCTGTTCCTTTCTTTCATGGAAGAAGTAAATAAATAAATATATAAAAATTTAAAAAAGAATTAATTGATTTGTACCTATACATTTGTATGAACAAATGTGCCTGACATATACAGGATTAAAACCACTTTTTGGTGTGTGTGTATTTCATTGAATGGAAAACTATAACTAGGAAGGCTTCCACCTATAAAACACATAATTCTATAGCAAGTAGTTACAACTGCTATAACAGGAGTCTATAATAATAGCATGTCTTTGAGGCAGATATTAATAAAGCCCATGTTACTGCTGTCTAACAGCCATGCAGAAGGGGTACAGACTGGGTGAGACTCCCCACAAATATGGAAGCTTGGTGCACTGCTGCTAGCAATTGGGATGAGAGACTTAGCTATAAAGGCTGAAAGCACAGGGACCCCTCAATGGGTACCAAGAAACCAGAACCATGTTTTTGGTCCCTCCACAGGAGAGTCATGTCACCAGGAGCCTGGCACCTACTTTTCTGAACCCTAATTGCCCAGATGAGAAAGTCCTACCTAGACTTCTATAAATAATTAATATCCAAACATATATTCCCTATTCACTTACAATGTATCAGAAATCCTTCTGGGTGCCAAGGACACAGAAATAAGTAAGGAGATTCCTGACCTTTAGGAGGTCTGTACCCAGACACATGTGCTTCTATAATGCTATGTGATATGGGATATGATGTTGAAATACTCTGCTAGAGATAAAGTAATTAGTTTTACAAGGGTGAGGAATTTCTTTTTCTTTTTCTTTAGGTTTTTGCCATAGGGTGCATACACTTACTGGACATAGAGAGAGAGAGAGAGAGAGAGAGAGAGAGAGGAAACTGAGAAATCATCCCTCTACAAGGGGGTTGGCCACACCTTAATTCCTTCTCATCCATTCTCCTCTTGGGATTTTGGGCACACACACACACATGTGCCTGGCATGATTTTCAAGCCATGGGGTCCAGGACTCTAACTGTGGTTAAACACATAGGAATCCAGCACCTTAAATGCCACACCACCTGCTGGCTCCAAGAAGGGATGTCTTTTAAAAATAATAATAATATTTCAGTAGGGTGGCTCCATGGCCTAGTGGTTAAGGAGCTGGATTCACATGACTGACTGTGTGGTTTGAATCTCAGCCCTGGCAGCTAGAAAAACAACTGGGCATGTGTGCATGCATGCTCCAATCCTAATAGGGTGGAGAAATGGAGGAGAAGGGATTGCGGCCTGACCACACCCCATTCAGGGGTACTTTCTCTGTCTTCTCTCCCTCTCTCTCTCTGCCTGTGTCTGGTAAACATACATACCCTCCAGGCAAATCTTTTTTTTTTAATAGAGGCTTTTCACTATAGAGCGCGTGCGCTCGCCAGACAGAGACAGAGAGACAGAAAGCAAAAAATCACCCCCCAGGGGGGATGGCCACGCCGCAATCCCTTCTCCTTCATTCTCTCTCGGGATCTCGGGCACGCATGCATACATGCCTGGCGTGAGTTTTAAGCCACCGGGTCCAGGACGCAAACCGCAGTCGACTACGTGGGAGTCCAGCGACATAGCCATTACGCTAACTGTTGGTCCCCAGGCAAATTTTTTAAAAAAGAAAAAAAAAGGATTTTAGATAAAATGTCATTTAAAATGAGTCTTAAAGAAGAGGAATTTGTCAGGCAGAAAAGGTCAAAGGGCTGTGGCATTCTAGGCAGAAGACAGGGCATGAGCCAAGGCACAGAGCCATGAAAGTAAGTGTACATCTTTGACGTGACAGCTAGCCCAGTGGTGAGAGCAAGGTGGAAGTGGCAGGAGCTAGAGCCATGAAGAAGAACTTCATGGACAAAGGAGAATCATGAGGGTAGGAGGTGTTGGGGAGGGGAAGATTATGAGAAGGAAGCATGATCTTACCAGTTTGTATGAAGATAAAACTAAAGAATGGGATAGGAGAGTAGAGAGTGAGAAGAGGAAACAAGATTAAAGGTGTTCAGGTAAAAAGTTAATCTAAATAGTTCAGTGACAGATGCCAAAGACAAGAATTGGGACAACAGAAAGGACAAATTTCAATAACAGCAACAAGCAGAATCCACAGGTGTTGGTGAGTGGGTGTGGGCAGTAGAGGAGAGAAAAATTGAAGATCACGTACAGGTTCATAGGTTAGAAGATGGGATAATGAGACTTAACCATGATAAATGATTGTAAGACAAAGAGGTTTACCAAAGAAAGAAAACCTGTCAGGTTTTGGGGCACCGTGTTCAAGAAGTTGCAGACATCTTGGCAAAGACTTCCAGGAAGCAGGTAGCAATGCAGCTCTGAAAGTCAGGAGAGCAGTCTCAGTGTCATCAGTGCACAGATGACAGATAAAGTCATACAGTGAAGGTCGCTTAAGGAGTTCAGCAGAAGACTGGAAGGCCAAGGATGGGGAGGTTCATACTAGGAGAAAGTAGGATGGAAGAACAGGGACAGAGACTAAAACTAATGGTTCCAAAGCTAAAAAGCCAAAAACATAAGGAAGAAGACCTATTGTGGATGATGGCACAGTGATAACACACTGGACCCACATGCAAAAGGTCCTGCGTTTGTGTCCTGGGACCTGCCCAAGCATGCCAGGCACACTCTGTTTGTTTGTGATCTAGAACAGCTGAGACTTGAGGTAGATTGTGGCAAGAAGACTCTATTAAGAGGTGCCTGTTTCTCTCTCTTTCTGATGGAAAAAATAAGTTAAGAAAAAGAAAATGAGGGAAAAAGAGATTATGGGCAGTGGCCCCCAGAGATCACAATGAAGCTGATATATCAAAGAAGACACCAACAAAGAGGCTAGGGAGCATCAGGACTTCTGTTTAGGGGCAGCTAAACGGGACAAAGCTGAGAGTATCAAGGCTCCTTTTGGTCCCATGATATTTTCCCAAAGGCCTCTTGGAACTAGGGTTGGTACCTCCAGTCTTTGCTTTCAACAAGGCCAGTGTCTTACACAGAATTGGTGGTGATGTGGCAGCACAGAAAACGGTGTGTCCTGAATCCTGTTCATAGTTCTACCCCAAATCCTGCCTTTTAACTTGCTTTTCTTTCCTTTTTTTTTAAAAGAATTATTTAATTTTATTTATTAATTAATTTATTTTAATTTGACCAGAGAGATACACAGAGAGAGAGAGAGGAAAAATGAGAAAGCAAGCCACCAGGTCCAGGACTCGAACCCTGGTTGGCCATGTGGGAGTGTCCAGAGCCTTAGCCATCACACTACCTGCTGGTCCCAGCCTTTTAACTTGCTTTTCAAAAGAAATGACTTCCAAACATACCACCATCTCTATGCTCATTTTATCCATAAAAGGTGGCCACTGTTTTCAGGCAAGTGGGCATTCTGCAGAACAGTTCCTGCAAGACCACAGGGCCTCACCTACTCACTGAGGAAGCTGAAAGCACTCTTAACCGCTGAGATGTCCACCAGGAAAGTGGTGTTCATCCTTTCAGGCCCAGGGCAACCAGGAAGCTTTCCTTAACTACATCACGCTCAGGGACCTCCCCTATCTGATTTATAGTCTCTCTCTCTGTTAGACTCACCTGCGTGGGATTCTGACTTGCATGCACATTTTCATGCAAGTCATTAGATTTGACTAACTCCTTGAGGGTAGAAATAGCTCTTTCCACCCTAGAACTATGTATGCCCTGCATGGGACAAAGATACAGAGTAATTAATAATCTTGAAATGTGTAACTTCTAAGGATAGAGTTGGGCACTGATGAACTATAGCTGATCATGGACTCTTTCCTTTTGTTAAGAATTCTCTCAGCACACTGAAAACTGTGGGGTCCCACTATGGCAATATTTACCATCTCAAATAGTAAAGCAATGAAGAATTGGCATATGCCACCTGCTTGGAGGAAGCCCCAGGAGAAAGGCCAAGGACAGGTGTTTCCCATGAGAAATGACAGCTGTAATGGAAAAGGACTGGCCTCCTTTGTGGGATTACCGAGGGTAGAACTAGGACTGATGTATGAAGCTGAAGAGATACCGACTTTAATTCAACACAAGGAAAAATTTCCTAACTTACTTTCAGAAGTGCTGGGTACCCAGTAGTGAGCATCTTCTCTGAAAGCATTCAAGCAAAAAGGGGATGAATGATCTTAGTGTAGGGACATGAAACAAGGGTTCTAAGGGGTGGGAAGTTAGGCTAGAATCACTGTAAGAATTTTAAGCCTAAAACTCTATCATTTTTCCTTCCTTCCTTCCTTCCTTCCCTCTGTGTTGAAGAGAGAGAGAGAGAGAGAGATTTTTGCTCTAGGGCCTATGTGCTCACCAGAGGGGAAATCTGAAATCACCTCCAAGAGGGGATGGCCATGCTGTAATCCCTTCTCCTCCATTCTCTTGAGATTTTGGACATGCACACACGTGCACCTGGCATGAGTTTTAAGTCGCTACATCTGGGACTCATACAGCAACTGGCCATGTGGGAACCCAGCACCTTAACCACTATGCTGTCTGCTGGCCCCCAGGCTCTATTATTTCTGATAGTACATTCCTTCAGAGTGAAAATCACTCCTTCCTCATATTCTCCATGTCCAGAAGATCTTAAGCATCCCATAGTATGTGTTAACAA